TCTCAAAAAAAAAAAAAAAAAGATGAATAGAGGCCGGACACAATGGCTCACACCTGCCATCCCAGCACTTTGGGAGGCTGAGGCAGAAGGATCACCTGAGCCCAGGAGTTCAAGACCAGCCTGGACAACAAAGCGAGACCCCATCTCTATTTTAAATTTTAAAAAATGATTAATAGCAGGAGATGAGAACTGAGAGTCAGGCAGAGGTTAGAACTTGCCCAAGGCCTGGGTCAGGACCCAGGTCTCCTGGCTCCCTACTGTCCAGTCAGGAGCTTCTGAGAGAGGCAAGGAACCACACACGAGAAACAGTCCACAAATCCGAGGCAGTGTATCCTTCAAGGCAGGTGAGGTGAGGCCCACGCGGGGCGATGAAGGGGCAAGTGCATAACCATGTAATGGAAGCCTGTGTAGTCTGTGGCATGGCCAAGGGCAAGGCTCACCCTGGAGGACAGAAGAGTCAGGTGGACCCATTGATAGAAAGGAGGGTCTGTAAGCAAATCTCAGACAGCTTGGCAAGAAGAAACCGGTTCCCACATAATCCCCAAATCCTGTGACCCACAGGACGTGCCTTTGAACAACATCTTCATTTCATCTCAGGATTATTACCTCTAGCAATGGAATAATCTGAGCAGTGAAACAGTAAAGATTAAACAATAATGAAAACACATCTGTGACCATGCCCTGCTCCTGAAAGTAAATAATACCTCATTAATTCAGACATAGTCACTGAAAGGCAATGTGGATTTTGAGCGAGAGGTCTTAATCACACACAACTCTCCAACATATTAAGTAACAAATCAAGGGAACTCAGGTAGGCTGGTGAGATCTGTAGGAATGGCACGTTCCGGGCCATCAGGGATACTGGGTAAGTCCCTCGTTAGTCACCTATTGGGGCCAGGCCTCCGAGCATCTTCCAGCCGGGGCTTCTCTTCGCTCTTAAGGATAGGCATGTTTTTGTTTTTATTTTTGAGATAGAGTCTTGCTCTGTTGCCCGAGCTGGAGTGCAGTGGCGTAATTTTGGCTCACTGCAACCTCCGCCTCCTGGGTTCAAGTGATTCTCCTGCCTCAGCCTCACGAGCAGCTGGTATTACAGGCACCCACCACCACGCCTGGCTAATTTTTGTATTTTTAGTAAAAGCGGGGTTTCACCATCTTGGCCAGGCTGGTCTTGAACTCCTGACCTTTTGATCCACCTGCCTCAGCCTCCCAAAGTGCTAGGATTACAGGCGTGAGCCACCACGCCCGACTGGGATAGGCATGTTTTTTCACACTGTGAAGAAGAAATCTCTTCAGCCACTGTGCAAAATCAGTGAGGTAATCCCACCTCGACAGTGTGGAGGGAGCAGGCTGAAACCCATGCATACATACACGAGTCTGTTTTTAACACAAACTTGATTTCTGCTGCTTTAGGGAGAGATTTGTATCTCTTCATCTCTAGGAACGATATTCAAATGCCTGAAGTTACACCAGGCTGCACTTCATTCTTGATGGTTTTGGTTTTGTGTGTGTTGGGTTTTTTTATGCTTTGTTTTCTATTTTTGCTGGAGAGAGAGTCTTGCTCTATCACCCAGGCTGGAGTGCAGTGGCACCATCTTGGCTCACTGCAACCTCCGCCTCCCGGGTTCAAGCGATTCTCCTGCCTCAGCCTCCTAAGTAGCTGGGATTACAAGCGCCCATCACCACGTCAGGCTAATTTTTGTGTTTTTAGTAGAGATGGGGTTTCACCATTTTGGTCAGGCTGGCCTCGAACTCCTGACATTGTGATCTGCCCACCTCAGCCTCCCAAAGTGCTGGGATTACAGGCATGAGCCGCTGCGCCCTGCTGAAGTTTTGTGTTTTTAGTAGAGACAGGGTTTCACCATGTTGGCCAGGGTGGTCTCAAAGTCTTGACCTCAAGTGATCCACCCTCCTCAGCCTCCCAATATGCTGGGATTACAGGCGTGAGTCACTGTGCCTGGCCGCTTTGCACTCTTTACCTGGCACTTTTGCATGATTTTTGAGCCAAGTGAATATTATACATCTCAAGAAACTGTAACAGAATATTGAATATCTTTAGACAAAAGGCAGCTTAAGCCTAGAAGGTCTCCAAGATGAACATTGATTCTGTGGCCAGAGATGCTTTTTCCATGCAGAACACAGCCGCCAGAGACCTTAGAATTAGGGTCATTCTCCTGGCCCCGAGGAAGCAGGACTCTGTTGGGGAATTTACACTTCATGGGGAAACTCCGGCCCAGGGAGTCCTGCTCTGTGGTCTGCTCAGTGCTGAGCACATGTCGTAGGTAGCCAGTCAGGCATTGCAAAGTTGGGGGTGTCACTCCTCAGGGTCTGGCTGGGGGCTCAGCCATGTCTGTTCTGGGCCCCTGTGCTGCCTCTGGCGGGCACTCACCACCCTGTCCTGTAACTGCAGGGCCTAAGGTGCCGACCCCGTATCGGTGCCTGTAGACAGGTCCTGGGAAGGAGGTTCCATGAAGACTGTGTGAGGAATGATAACTCTGTGGTCATACTGGCCACTACAGGGCGAGGGACTGCTAGGGAAGGTGTCCTGCCAGCTGGAGGAGGGAGGAGAAGTCGTGACTACGATTGTTTCATAATAATATTAAAGCCAGGAGCAACCAGGCATGGCTGTGCCAGCCACGTCTTCACCACCGTGAGCCCCCAGAGCCCTCCTGGCACCCCGTGAGGTGTTCTGTCATCTCCTTGCACCATGTAGTCCAGCAAACTGAGGCTCGGAGAGGCGTCATGGCTCATCCACGGTCACACAGCGAATGATTGGCAGAACGGGATTCCAGCCCAGAGGTGCGCCCTCAAAGGCGTGTCCTTCTTCGAGGGGCCCGCTGGCTTCTATTGGAGAGGACGCTTCTGCGTGGTGGGCCCTGGGGTCCGTGGTCCCGAGGAACTGGGGCCTGGCGAGAGGACGCTCTCCCTTTGCTCACGGATCGGCGTGGGTGTTTACTTGCCCCAGGAAGAGTAGGCACCCGTGGGGCTCCAGCCCGACTCCCTCATCACTTTCTCACTGGGGACCCCGCTCCGAGCTTCACGGCCTCGTCCTCATCCTCGTCGTGTGCTTCCTGGCAGGCCTGTAGTCAGGGTCTGGCGTGGGAAGCACTGGAGGGATGCAGCAGGGTCTCTGTCTGAATGTGCCCATCGGTGTAGCCACTGTGGTCACGCCTTCCTTACCGTCAGGGTGCAGGGTGGCCAGGAGCCCCAAAGCCTCAGACTGGGTTTCCATTGTGTGCACACAGCAGACTGCCTGCTCTCACTACGCAGGGGTGGGGGAAACGGGAGGCCTGGGAGAACAGCTGGCCCTCTCCCTACTCTCACTGTGCAGGGGTTGGGAAATGGGAGGCCTGGGGAGAAGAACTGGGCCTCTCCCAGCTCTCACTACACAGTTCCAGGCAGAAGGGGAGGCCCGGGGGAAGAGCTGGCCACCGTCTGTAGCCTGCCCTCGGTCGGTCAGTGACTGGGAAGGAACAGGGTTCTAGCAGGGACACCCTTGCCGGAGGCCTGAGGCCAGCAGGGCCACATCCAGGAAGTCTTGGGATACCCAGTCCCCAGTGTGGGGAGGATAGCCCGTCCGTTGGAGGTGGGACAGTGGCTGTGACGGCCACTCTGGGGACCTAAGTTCAGGGTCCTGCAGACACCTGGGCCTAGAGGTGGTGGTGTCATGGACAGGGCAGGGCTTGTGTCCCTGTCTGTGTGGTGGTGATGACGATGCTGACAGTGACTGGTGATGCCTGAGGCCTGATGCAAGGATGCACTTGAAGTCTGACCTCTGTGTAATTGTCCTCCCACCTCCCAGATGGCGGGCTGGGGAGGGACTCGTTAAACCTCTGGATGAGTGACAAGGCGCAGGAGCTGGCAGCATGCCTGTGAGCTCGGTCGTCCATGAGCCAGAGACCCGAGAGCAGGAAGAGCAGAGAGAGGGAGGGGTTCACCCGGAACAGAGGCTGAAGGCGGGGGGCAGGCAGCGTGGGGTCGCTCGGCAGCTCCTCCCCACAGAGGGTGAGCCCCCAATGCAGAGGCCACTCCACGAAGAGGCAGCACTGGTGAGGCCAGGGTGCGACTCTTCCGCCTATGCATCCTCCCTTGTTTAACACCAATGATTATTAATTTTTTTTGGAAGCCACAGCGCCCCATTATTTCTGGCTTCAATCAGCACAGGAGCTCAGCCGCCGGACCACACGTTGTCTCTGAGCCAGGCAGGGTGCAGACTGAAGCTGCAGAGTTGACAAGGCTCCTCCAGACGCCAGCGGGGGGAGGCCTGGGGTGGCCAGTGAAGAGGGGTGGTCGTTAATAAGGAACAGCTGCTCAGCCCCAAGCCCCTCCCAGTTGAGGAACTTAGCAAGCCAGGAACCGTCCCTCAACTAGGAAGCACGGGGGGGTTCTGTAAGCAGAGCTGCCCTGGTGGAGCTGCTCAGGAGGGGTGGGACCACAGAAGGGGCTGGATGGATGTTGCCGGGGTCCCTGGAGGGAGCTGGGGGTCAGAGGTGCAGGCAGACAGGGAAGACGAAGGAGGGAAGGAGGAATGGCAGCTGTGGAGCTGCTGTCCTGCCTGGGCAGGTCATGCTGCCATTGGCAAGAATTAAAGGACTTCCTCAGAGAAGGAGTGGGAGAGCCAGACTGTAGGAGGGAGGGAGAGGCAGAGACTGAAAAGGCACAGCCCTCTGCAGCCCCATGGGGAGCAGGGTGGGACCGGGTCCCTGTGGCATGCTCGCCGTGTGCCAGCGTCCTCAGGAAAGATGAACCAATGTTCACACCTTGTTCCGGTGAAGGATGGAGCAGGAAACAAGCTCACAGGGAAATCCACGTGGAACCCCACCATTCATCACAGCCCCAAGACCACCCTTCAGTGCACAGGCAGTGACCTCCAGGAATGGGGAAGAGACAGATGGCCTTGCCGGGGTTTCTACTCCAGAGGTCAGCACAGGGTGTGGGCACAGGGCTTCCCTGTGCTGTGGGTGAGTGGCTCAGCAGCTGTCTCCCGTGTCGCCTGCCTGCAGGGTACCAGATTGCCTACCGCCTGGCCAGCAGCAGCCCCCACACCTTCACCACCGTGGAGGTCGGCGCCACAGTGAGGCAGTTCACAGCCACCGACCTGGCCCCGGAGTCTGCATACATCTTCAGGCTGTCCGCCAAGACGAGGCAGGGCTGGGGGGAGCCACTGGAGGCCACAGTCATCACCACTGAGAAGAGAGGTAAGACCTTGGGGGACCCAGGGGTACTGCAGACGTGGCGGGCACCGCTTCCTCAGTCAGGCCTTCTGGAGTCTGTGGGGTACCTGGGAGGCTTCGGCCTTCCCTTCGTAGAAAGAGAAGGGATGTGAGCATTTACAAAGCACCCACTGAGCTGATACGGAGCCGGGCACACTATCAAACAGCATTGCATTCACACGTTCAGCCTCACACCTGCTCTCTCAGACATGTGAGCATTGCATTCACATGTTCAACCTCACACCTGCTCTCTCAGACACATGAGCATTCATTCACACCTTCAGCCTCACACCTGCTCTCTCAGACACGTGAGCATTGCATTCACACCTTCTGCCTCACACCTGCTCTTTCAGACACGTGAGCATTGCATTCACACCTTCAGCCTCACACCTGCTCTCAGACACGTGAGCATTGCATTCACACCTTCAGCCTCACACCTGCTCTCTCAGACACGTGAGCATTCATTCATACCTTCAGCCTCACACCTGCTCTCTCAGACATGTGAGCATTGCATTCACACCTTCAGCTTCACACCTGCTCTCTCAGACACGTGAGCATTGCATTCACACCTTCAGCTTCACACCTGCTCTCTCAGACACGTGAGCATTGCATTCACACCTTCTGCCTCACATCTGCTCTCTCAGACACGTGAGCATTCATTCACACCTTCAGCCTCACACTGCTCTCTCAGACACGTGAGCATTCATTCAATAACCTTCAGTCTCACACCTGCTCTCTCAGACATGTGAGCATTGCATTCACACCTTCAGCTTCACACCTGCTCTCTCAGACACGTGAGCATTGCGTTCACACCTTCTCCCTCACACCTGCTCTCTCAGACACGTGAGCATTCATTCACACCTTCAGCCTCACACCTCTCTCAGACACGTGAGCATTCATTCACACCTTCAACCTCACACCTGCTCTCTCAGACACGTGAGCATTCATTCACATCTTCAGCCTCACACCTGCTGTCTCAGACACGTGAGCATTCATTCACACCTTCAGCCTCACATCTGCTCTCTCAGACATGTGAGACAGTCTCGGGTTTAAGGAGAGCAACATTGCTCACAGAGTCTGAGTACCTGGGGCAAGGCTGCAGAGTCACCACATTTGAGGGTGAGCTCCCTGAGGGCAGCCCCCAGTCTCTGATGTTAAACCCATGTCCTCTGCTTAGCAGGTGTTCAGTAAGTAAGTTTTCCAAATAGCTGACTTCCTGATGAGAACTGCTGGGGCGAGCAGGGCCCTGCTTCACACACGGGGGCAGGTGCTCTGTGCATTGCACTTGGCCTATCCTCCCTGCAGCCCACGGAGCAGTATGTCATTAACTCCGATTTTTACCAAAGACGAGACGGAGGAAATTGAGAGAGTTTTATTAATTTGCCCAGACACACAACTGCGGAGCTGAGATTTGGATCCGCCCCAACACCGTGAGGCCAACTCTTCCCATGAGTCTGTAGCGGGCGCTCTTCTCAGTGGGCTCCGTGCACGTCCTTGGGCCTTTCAGTGCCCAGGGTTGGTGCCACAGGACCCTCACCTCAGCAGCCCCGGCTCCCACTCCAGGTCCTGACATCGCGGCCAGACCCAGGGACCTTGTGGGAATGAGGACAGGAGGGAGCTTCCAGGCACTGCTGCAGGGACACTTGGAGCACATGGCTCTGGCCAGGCTCCTATTTTTTTTTTTTTTTTTTTGAAACAAGGTCTTGCCCTGTTGCCCAGGCTGGAGTGCAGTGATGTGATCATAGGTCACCGCAGCCAGGAATGCCTGGGCTCAAGCTGTGCTCCCACCTCTGCCTCCCCAGTAGCTGGGACTACAGACACACACCACCCAGCTAATTATGTTCTGAAGAGACAGAGTCTTACCATGATACCCATCTTGGCCACCCAAAGTGCTGGGGTTACAGGCATGAGCCACCGTATCCAGCTAATTATTTTAATTTTTGTAGAGATGGGGGTCTTACTATGTTGCCCAGGCTGGTCTCCAGCTCCTGGGCTCAAGCGATCCTCCCACCTCAGCCTCCCAAAGCTCTGGGGTTGCAGGTGTGAGCCCCTGCCTTTTGTCTTCCCATAGCATTCAATGAAAACACATCCCCTCCATCACCAGTACCACTATCATTATTATTAATGTTATTAGCTGGAGAGACAAAAGCCCTCAGTCACCACAGACACCCGAGGTGCTTCTGCAATTAAAGCACATGGAAGAGGTGCCCTGTGAAACGGGCGCCCTCATTGCCCTGCTGCCACCCCAGGTATCAGCACTCAAGGCTTCTCAGGAAGATGGTAATGGCTCTCTCAAGCAAACATTTTGACTTCATTCCCTAATGTATTCGTGTGGTTTTATGGTTCATTTATCTTAAGCATTGACTGTGCCCCTCCCACGAGCCAGGCACGTGTGCAGGTGCGTCACAGACACGGTCTCACAGCAGGTCCCCTTATTTCCCCGTGTCCCGCCTCACAGTCCCGCCCCGCGGTCCTGCCCCACTGTCCCACCCCACACTATGCCACCTGATAATCGGGCCCAGAGATTTCGGAGATTTCTCCCCTCCTCCATCCTCGTGGCTCAGGGAGAGGGAATCCAAGAGGCTTGCTAGTTACCACTAAGTCCAAGAGAGCCTTTGAAATGGGATACTCTGGGCCACCTTGTGTGCTTACAGAGGCAAGTGCTGATGAAGTGAGACCAGAGCCCTCCTCCCACACCCGCCACTGCAGGCCAACAATCAATCGCCACTTTACACATGCCACGCACTCTAATCAGAATCAATAATCTTCATGATAAACAATTAAACAATTATTCCTCCCGCTGCGGGGCTCCTCTGCTGAAATCGATGGGGTGCGGAGGCACAGCAGTGGCAGACGATGGGCACTCCAGGCTGGGCCTGGCCCCGGGCACCCCACGTCCCCCATCCAAGCTACTGCAGACACCAGAGGCAGTGACAGCCCAGAGGTGTCCTCACCTACAGCAGCACGGAGTAGACGCCATAGATGCTTTAGGCCCTGGGTGACTGCAAGAAGGAGGGAATTCAGCTTTAAAGGTGGACTGAGCCCAACATCAGAAAAAGAGAGACCAAAGGCACCACAGGGCTTGGAGCAGCCCCCAAGACCCTGTGACCCCAGCAGTCATCACAGACACAGTGCCTGGTGGTCTGGCAGTCTAGGGACCCCTATGTGGCTTTGTTCCTGTCTGTTGGTCTCTACGAGTAGTGCATCCAAAGTCAGCCTTAAGACAGCTGCTTGGCTGGGTGTGGTGGTTCATGCCTATAATCCCAGCACCTTGGGAGGCCAAGGCGGGCGGATCACCAGGTCAAGAGGTTAAGACCATCCTGGCCAACATGGTGAAACCCTGTCTCTACTAAAAATACAAAAATTAGCTGGGTGTGGTGGCACATGCTAGTAGTCCCAGCTACTCAGGAGGGAGTAGAATCTCCTGAGGCAGGAGAATCCCTTGAACCCGGGAGGCAGAGATTGCAGTGAGCTGAGATCACACCACTGCACTCCAGCCTGGCAACAGAGCGATCTCCTGGGGATCCTCCTTGGGAAGGGCAGCCTCTCACATGTCCCTGGTCTGTCCTCATTTGGTTGCAGAGCGGCCGGCACCCCCCAGAGAGCTCCTGGTACCCCAGGCAGAAGTGACCGCACGCAGCCTCCGGCTCCAGTGGGTCCCGGGCAGCGATGGGGCCTCCCCTATCCGGTACTTCACCGTGCAGGTGCGAGAGCTGCCCCGGGGCGAGTGGCAGACATACTCCTCATCCATCAGCCATGAGGCCACAGCCTGCATCGTTGACAGGTACTAAGACAGCAGGAGGACCGCCCCCACCAAGGAATAGTGCCCCGGCCGCCTCCAGCCAGCTCCTGTCCAGATAGTGGGGAGTCTGTGTGGGCCAAGCAGGTGCACCCCTGAGAGCACCGGCCCCCTTTCTTTTTGACACTCCCCATGCTGGGAATCCCAGAACTCCTGGATCCTGGAGCCACCTCCAAGGGTCCACCCCCAGCCCCTTCCCGGAGTCTGATCTTCAGGAAGTTCAAACTTCCTGGGCTGGTTTGAACACCCCAGGACCCAGGGATTGGCGAAGCAGGGGGGTGGGCCAGACGTGTGGGATGGAGTCCTAGCCCCTCCCAAGGCTGGCAATGGGGAGGGGACCATGTGGAGGAGGGCTGGGCCAGCCTCAGGTGTCCAGGGCTGAAGGGACATTGCGTCCCCTTGCGTTCTCGAAAGCAGCAGGGAGATGGATGGCACCACGAGTGCTGTGCTTCCTTGGTGATGGCTGATGGGAAGACGGGAGGGCATGCCTGGGACAAGACAAGAATCCATCCACTCAGTTATTTACTGGACCTGTGGGCTCAGCGTGGGAGAGGGTTGCACTGACAATAGCAGCAGTGTCCTGTGGGTCCTCCAGGGTCCTCACGACTGCGGTTACAGACTCACCCACTCTTTACAGACAAGGAAACTGCCACAGTCACACAGATGGGCATCCTAGGGCTTGGAAGCCACCCCAGGAGTCCCACACCCTCACCATGTGTCCTGCCTGGGCCCTCCTGGGGCCTGTCGGGTTTGCAGGCCCTGCCCGGGCAGAGCCACCTGGGACACCTGCCTTGTGCTTCTCATCGGCCCAGAGTTTGGTCCCTTGTTGCTGAGCTCACACTCCAGGCTGTGGAGTGGGGCTCTTAGAGTGAGTCCCTCCGTGTCCAAGGGCTCTGGAGCCTGCACCAATGCCTAAGAGGGTGGAGGGGACGAGACGGTCGTCTCCAGGCTGGCCGAGCTTCCTCTGTCTCAGATGGTCACATAGGTCAGCTCTGCGTCCCTACGGTCACCCAGTGAGGGGAGACCATGATCCCGCTTTACAGAGGAAGACCACAACCAGAAAAGTCGGTCACTTGCCCATAGCCCCCGCCCAGCCTCCGTGTCGCCCAGCCGCCTTCATCTTGGAGGCTGCCCGTCTCAGCCCTGCCTGGCTGAACCTGAACGTAGGGAGGGAGGCAGGTCCCAGGTGAAGCCCCTGGCAGCTCCTCAGAACACCACCCTTGCCCTACTCTGCCCTGGAGGCAAAGTTCAGACTTTGGAGTGAGGGCTGATTGGAGTGTGGGTGTCGCTGGTCCTAGATATAACAACGGGGGTTTCAAAGAGAAGAGAAACATCCAAAACCCCCATCCTTGGCTTGAGGACCAGGCCCATGACGGAGGTGAAGCCCTTGCCCAGGGAGGGGTGGCCCACCGGGCATCTCGGTACAGAGCTGTGAAGCTGGAACTGTGCAGGCTCAGCCTGGCTTCTGTCGCTTGCTGTTGAGTGATCTGGGGCAGGTGACAGGTTCTCAGGCATCTTGAGCTCCCTGGCCTTTGAGTTGCGAGGTTTGGAGATGATGATAAGGCCCTCTGGGCGGTCATGGCCATGGATGCCACTGTCGCTTTTGCCACCCCCACACGGTTTCCCCAGGAGGCACAGCTGGGTGTCAAATGCAAATCCTGACCAGATTCTCTGAGCAGCCCAAGAAGGGTCAGCCAAGCTGCGGGAACCCACGGAACCCATGCTGCGGCTCCCAGGCCCCCATTGGAGACCACAGACCAACAAGGAAGCCAGCGCCCCAGTGCACAGCTCCAGCTCTCTGCAGCCCCAAAGGACCCACCCTGGCGCAGTCACCCTCTCCAATCTCGTGGTCCAAGCAGCCCTCTGCTCTTCTGAAAATCGAGGCAGAATGGTCCCTGCACACAGGGCTTGTTCGCAGCAGGGCCAGAGCCACTGCCTGGTCTCCCCCGGGCAGGGCACAACATCTGGTGAGGTCCGTATGCTGGCAGGTTGGAATTTAGAAAAGTTGTTCCATCCCCACAGCTGTGGTTATGCCCCTCATGTTAGGAAAACGAGGCTGCAGTAGCTCCAGCTTGATGTCCCCTCTGAGGTGTTTTCCCTGGTGTTCTAGTCACTCAGCTTCCAGACAGTTAAAGCTTTGACAGGACTTCACCACCACCACCACCGCCGCCATCCTCATCGCCATCATCATTGCCGGAATCCCCTCATCCTGTCCAGCACCTGTCATTTTCAACACCACTTCCATCTGTCATTTCATACGATGTTCATAACAACTGTGTGAACACACAGACCAGACTTCTCACTATCCCCATTTTACACACACAGATGTTGAGGCAGAGATATCTTAAGTAACGCATATGCGGGTGCCTCGACATCTCTAAATGGAAAGGATATTTCCTGAGGTTTTTGCGGTTGTCACATTCCAGGAGCCAGAGGTCAAGTCTCCATCGACACAATCCATGTCCTGCAGTTAATTTACAAGGGTCTGCAACATCTGAAAACCCAACACGTGTACATCTGAACACCAAGCTTTCCGCAGTCAGTCTCCCCTTAGTAGCCGCGTGGCCTTGGAAAAGTCCAACCCTTGGCTGCCTGCTAGGACTCTGACTTCTCGTCTGTGAAAGGCAGGGCTGGAGCGGGGATCCTGCTGTTCCCTCCAGCTCTGTGAGTCCAAGGTTTGCCTCATTACTGACCGCCAGCGAAGTGGCAGCCAAGAAATAAGGCGATCGGAAGAGTCAGAGTGTCCGCTAGGTTCCTGCCGGCATCTCACTTGCCCTTTGAGCGACAGCAACAGAACTCGAGAGGCACAGTTCTCTTCCCTCCGGAGGAAGGCGCTCCTAGTAGCAGATACCATCCTCCCGGAGCCCTGGAATTCTCCTGGCACAGCCCCGAGGGTCAGGGGAGTGTGGCCAGGTGCGCCCAGCCTGACTTAACAAACTGCACAGGATGCTTAGCTTAATCGGCAGTGTGTTCACAGATATAAATAACCTCATCCTTTGTGTAACCATCTAAAAGAAGGAAAAAAAAAATCCAACCACTATTCCTGAAGGCTTCTGAAACCAAAAGACTAATTGTGTGCCTGGGATGTCATGCTGGAAAGGAGAGGTCCGTGTTTCAGGACAGACAGTTTAATTTGGTATAGGACAGACCACTGTCAATTTCCTAATGGGCCAGAACTAGGACAAATGCTTCCTCTGCCTATCAATAGAGAACATGTCACAGGAGAATCTCAGGAAGGCGATATTTTGTACACTGCCAGTGTAATCTCCCTTCCTGTTTAATAATCCTGACAGCTACATTTTACTTTCACCAGTTGTGTGAAATCTGCAAGTATCCAAAAAACATAAAGAGTTTAACTGTCTAAATTTGGTGACCGTGACTACATGCAGGGAATATGGGTCTAGACCCCCAGGGAGAGGGGTTGGGTCTGAGACGTGTTCAGGCGTTGCCAGTGTCTGCTTGATGGTTCAAGTGAGACGGGGTAGCCACCCACAGAAATGCAACAGAAAGGAAGAAGAGGGCTCTGAGCCCAGTGTGACTTGGAGGTTTTGGATGTCACTTTAGGACAGAGCAGTGGCCGTGTGGGCTCGGGGGGTGGCTGTGTGTCCGGTAGTGATGGGCTCAGCTCCTCCTCTGAGCTCTCCCATGGGATACATCAGGGGGTCCAAACAGAAGACAGAAAGGCCCGGATGGAATGAGCATGGAAAACAGCAGGGATTCAATGAATGTCAGCACAACGGCCCTAGCTCCATTCGGGTGACTTCCTTTCCTTCCTTCCTTCCTTCCTTCCTTCCTTCCTTCCTTCCTTCCTTCCTTCCTTTTTCTTTTTTCTTTTTCCATATAATGTAATTTTTAAAAATACCATTATTTAAGAATCAGATGAACTGAGTGTGGTGGCTCATGCCTGTAATCCCTGCACTTTGGGAGGCTGAGGCAGGAGGATGGATCACCTGAGGTCAGGAGTTTGAGCCCAGCCTGGCTAACATGGTGAAACCCCGTCTCTCTACTAAAAATACAAAAATTAGCCAGGTGGTGGTGGGCGCCTGTAACCCCAGCTACTCAGGAGGCTGAGACAGGAGGAATTGCTCGAACCTGGGCAGCGGAGATTGCAGTGAGCCGAGATCGCGCTACTGCACTCTAGCCGGGGCGAGAGAGTAAGACTTCGTCTCAAAAGAAAAAAAAAAAAAGAATCAGATGAACTTGGCCAAGGCTGGGATACATGAGCTTGATATTCTTTGTGATACAATAGTGAGGTCTAAGTGTTTGTGTTTGGTTGGTTGGTTATTTGTTTTTGTCTGTCACCGGAGCTGGAGTGCAGTAGCTCCATCATCGCTCACTGCAGCCTCCAACTCCCGGGCTCAACATACCCTCCTGTCTCAGCCTCCTGGGTAGCTAAGACTACGGGCATATGCTGTCATGCCTGGCTAATGTTTAAATTTTTTTTTTTTTTTCCGAAATAGGGTCTCACTGTGTTGCCCAAGCTGGTCTCAAACTCGTGACCTCAAGTAATTCTCTTACCTCAGCCTCCCAAAGTACTGGGATTACAGGCATGAGCTACCATGGCCGGCCAATAGTGAATTCTTAAGAACATTTTTAGTGCCTTTCAGATAAGCAAATAAAGACAGCAGTGAATCGCTTTAGAAAGATGCTCAGCACTCATCCATTTTATATTAGAACCAATATGAATGAATGAAGCTCCTCCTGTTTAAGACTCTGCATTTAGCTCTGAGGCAGGAACATGGAACTTAAGCTATGTCCTTCCCCGACGCCCATTCCAGAACACTTTGGCTGTGGAGGTCAAGTTTGTGTATATGCTTAGCCATCCGAGGCAGTACGAGTACAAACTGGCTTTCTGAATATATTGGTTATTGATTTGGGGTAGCAAGAGTTCTGATAGCAAGTTCAGGTAGTGAGGGTCCTGTATTACCCAAATTATTTATTTCCTGAGTTTGGGATGATTAGAAGAAAGAGATTAGATGGCAGATGTTTTCTCAAAAATATCCCTAAATCTATCCAGCTTCTGAGTTTGCACACGGAGATTTGGGAAGTGAGGCATGGGGAATGAGCAAAGGCCTGGGGAGGCACCAGGCAGCGTCGATGGCTTCCTGGGGACGAGTGAGGGCTCCGAGGTGGGGGAGCCAGAGAAAGCTTTTGGGAAGACAGGAAAAAGCACATCACATTTATTCATTGCCTGCTGTGCGCCACGATCCACCCGACTCCATGAGGATGGGTGATGTGATGTCATTTTCACAACAGCCCTGGAAGCCCGGTGCTGCTATCTCCATGTCCATAGCCGAATACAGTGAGGCTCTGAGACACTGAGTTGCTCCAGCGAGTAGTGGCGGAGCCAGCATTGGAATTCTGCCAGGCCCACTGCAAAGCAGAGTTTTGGGCTGGCTTGGAAGCATGAACAGAATGCAGAACTGGGGGCAGTTAGAAGGGTTGTAGGAGGGTGTTCTTGCATCCTGTGTGCGTTTGTTCCTTTATCAAGGAGTCACCAAAGTCCTGCTCTGCCACAGGAGGGAGCATGGCAGGAGCAATGGGGGCAGGGGGCTCAAGGATCAGACGTTTAGCCTAGGAGGTAGACCAGTCATCCACAGGAGCAGCGCTGCAGGGAAGTGAAGAGGCAGGTTGGGGTGAGTGCACAGAGGATGCTACCGTCTGGGACCACAGGGCCAGGAGAGGGGATGAAAGTTCTGCCCGCTGCCTGTCTTATTTGGGCAGTGGGACTGCTCCTCCCGTAGGCTGCCGGAGCTGCGTTCTGCCTGGTTTCAGGGCTGAGAGGGTTACCTCCCGCAGATCCGCATTCTGTGTTCCCTGCAGCTCGCAGAGACACTTAATCAATCCTTGTTGAATGAAGTGAGTCCGGCAAAACACAGGCCTCACGCTAGGAACCCTGCTCTCTGTCCTCCTGCGCACCCAACCCCATTTGTCTGGGAGCCAGGCTGATTTGTCCAGCCACCTGACACGTATTTACGGCACACCACGTGCGCCCGACTCAGTGCCAGATCCAGGCAGGACAGTGGAGAAAGAGGGGTTTCAAGGAGCTTGCAGTGTGACTCCAAACCCCCAGATCGTAGCAAAGCATGAAGTACTAAACAGTGCAGTGCTGAGTATAATTACAATTCAATGCCAGAGGCCAGTGAGAAAGCAAATACATCAATAAGTAAGCATAATCGTAAATAAATAAATAAGTAAACAAATCATTTCTGCAACATCTACTGTGTGCCAGATGTGACTCTGGTATTTATATGTCCTCATAGGCAACCCCCTTCCCCACCCCGAGAAACTTCAATGATGGGGAATAGCGTCCTTATTCAATCCTTCCTCTCACAGATCTGCTGAGCGCCCTCCTGGGTGTTCTTGGCTCTTGGGGTACAGCAGGAAAGGAGGCCGACTCGATCCCTGTCCTCTTGGATGTTGAGTCTTGTAAAGACAGACAGTCATCAAGGAAATGTCACCCATCATGATGCAGAAGATGAAGGGAAGGAACAGGGCACAGGAGACACAGGGCAGGGCCATCTGAGCGAATGCTTACAGATCCACAGGAACAGCTGATCCGTAGCAAGCTTGCACCACATGCCTGACTGTCTGCTGAGTGCCTCACCTGAGTTTAAGCCTCATATCAGTTTCATGATGCCTGTGCTATTATCAGCCCAGATAAGGAAACTGAGGCAAAGTATGCTGTCCAAGGTTAACTGGGAGCTAGAAGCCAGGCAGTTTTAATTTGGGGTCCACGTTCCTAATGCCCACTCTGCTGCCTCCTGGTACAGGAGGAGAAGGAGCCAGTGGGGCTATGGTGGGAGGCGCAGGTGGATGAGGCAGGGAGGTCACGGGAGAAAACACGTGATTATCACCCAGACGAGACAAAATAACTCCTAGGATGCTAGGAACAGAGGGGAGATTGTTTGTTTTAACTTAGCAAAGGCTATCTCCCAGAAATGTGGAGCAAAGGTCATTTTGTGGTCGGACTTCAGAAGCATCTCCATTAAAGCTGGGGCCAAGGCCAGCTGCCTTCTGTGGCTGTTTTTCCAGTTGTGGACGCTGAGTGCAGAGGGGCTGAGATGTGCCTGCGGTCAGGGACTGGGAAGTAGCAAGTCCAGACCAGGTTCTGGAGGGTTGCAGTGGAAAAGCATGCCTTGAGGTGTGAGCTGGTAGAGAAACACTGTCACCTGGTCATAGGCAGGACGGGGACCTGAAAGCAGGAATAGCATCTGATCATGATTTCCAAAAATGGTTATCAGTTTTCTAAAAAGCAGAATCCTTCCCTTAAGCCAAGTATGACCCAGCCCAAATGCATAAACCCAATGGGCATGGAGCTGCTGTTGGCTGATACGGGCCATGTGGGGCTCTGGACGTCAGAGGCTTCAGAGTCCTGGGGGTCCACAGGGTTCCATTTGAAAGGCACTGGTTTACAGATTCCGTTGGGAATGAGGACAGAAGACTGGGTTTCAGGTGATGAGGGCTTCGGCTTAGAGTGATAGTTGAGGAGACTTTTAGACATGAGTAACAGAGGTTGAGAGTCCTGAGGCACCCCGAGTTTTCTGGTCTGGAAACTGAGCCCTCATCTATGAAGTGCCACTGCCCGCCAGGGAGGAGAACAGAGCAGCTTCCTCACTTGCTCATTCGGAAGTCAAATAAAGGGCATCTGAGAGGAACCAGCCAGTGACTGAGTATGCATGGGCTGCAGAGCAGGTCCCTGACTAGCTAGGGCTTCACCAAGATCCCAGCATCATCTGCACAAAAGAGTTTGGCTGAAGTCTAGTCTCAGACATGGCATGGGGCTTGGCACAGGAGACCCATTGCATGTGGAATAGCTGAACGGATGGAAGGAAGGAAGGAAGGAAAAAGGAAATGAAGAAAAGGGAGGGAAAAGGAAGGAGGGAAGGGAGGTGGAAGGGAGAGAAGGAAGGAGGGAAGGAAAGAAGGAAGGAAGGAAAGTGGGAACAGAGGAAGAAGAGAAAGAAAGAAGGAATGAGGGGAGGGAGGGAGAAATGAAGAGAGGAAGGAGGGAAGGGAAGAAGAAAGGAAAGGTAGGAAGGAGGAAGGAAGGAAAGGAAGGAGGGAATGGAAGGGAAGAGAAAAGGAAGGAGAGAAGGGAGGTGAAAGGGAGAGAAAGAAGGAGGAAGGGAAGTGAAGAAGGAAGGAAGGAAAGCAGGAAGGGAGGAAGAAGGGAGAGAAGGCAGGAAGGAGGGGAGGGAGGGAGGAAGAAAGGGAGGAAGGAAGGTGAGTGAGCAGATGGAAGTAGGCCTGAAGTGCTAACACCAGAAGGCACCTCAGGCAAGCATTAGTCCCATTAAAATCTCCATCGAAGGGCTGGGGGCATTTTTCACTTGGATGCTTGACAGGATGTGGTCTTTTGTAAAGTGACATGTGACTGTTGCCATTTACTAGTCCTGCAGCAATGGGCCTCCGTTTTATCATCCTTGAAATGGGAATAATAATGCCTCCTCTCCCAGAGCTCGCGTGGGTTGAAAGGGGTTGCACTTGCCAAGTGCCTGGCACCATGTCAGCCCCAGTGAATGGTAGGAGTGCGGGGCCGGTGGGTCTCTGCCTGCAGCCGGGCAGGAAGTGGACCTTAGAGAGCCCTGCGAGGCTGGGCCTGGCCAGTAAAGAGCTCCAGGAGGACGGAGCGTGGGAATCAGGCGGGAACTCATTTTACGCTCCGGATCAGCACAAGGGCCCAGGGTGTTAGCGCTTCCTGAGGAATTCTGTGGATCCCTTGGAGAGCAGTGATGTGCCCACCGGAGTGCCAGGGGTGGCTCCAGTGAGGGGTTGGCAGTGCCTCCCCGAGGAGCCCTGAGCAGAACCTTCCTCCTGGCCAGGACGCCCTGCACTCACTGCCCTCTGTGCGGCTCCTTTCTCCCTGAGGATTTCGACCACCCAGGTGTTCAAAGGCTCCTCCCAGTACAGGTCCAGGGTCCTCTTAAAGCCCCTGCTCACTGCACCTAGGAAGTGATTGAGTCCAACCCAAGAACAGCCTCCTCGCTGACCTGTCTCGGGCCCACACAGGAGGCCAGAGCTCTCAGGGCAGGGGAGGGATTTGCCCCTCCTCCCAGGGCTTCACCAGGAGCGCCTGAGGGCAGGACGGGGAGGCAGGGCCCCGCAGTCACAGTCTCTTCCACATTGCAGACTGAGGCCCTTCACCTCCTACAAGCTGCGCCTGAAAGCTACCAATGACATTGGAGACAGCGACTTCAGTTCGGAGACAGAGGCGGTGACCACGCTGCAGGATGGTGAGCAACCCGGGGCCCAGACTGTATTCCTGGCCACTGCCCCTGGAGCCTGAGACACTTAGGCCCCACTTTCCTCTTGAGCCAGGAAGGGGTCACCAGGGAGCGGTGGCAAGCAGTAGAATTCCATTAGTGACAGACAGCTCGGAGGGTTTCCGCACAGCCTGTGGTCATAAATCAAGGTTTCAAGGGCTTCCAAATGGAATGGAAGGCTCTTTGATTGGCTTCCAAAGCCCCTACTATCCATTAGCATCCCAGAAATTGAATAATTGATAGCGTCATTAAAAATAAATGTCAGCGGGTAGCTGGGTTTTAAGAGATTTTCCCAATTTTTCTCATTCACGAGCCGCTCTTTGACAACAGCGCAGGTAAGTGATGGGAAGTGAGGTCTCCTCAGAGCTCCAGATGGTGTTTTCACCTGCTCCATCCTATCTCGGCGGCGTTGGGCCTGAAGATGGATTGTCATTCTGTGTGGCCCAGGTCTGTGGTGAGCCCAGGAGGCAGCTCTATCAGCCGCGTCCAGCGGTGATCACAGGACGGGTGGGATGGAAAAGAATGGATGGTGGGGAATAGCTCAGCTCCCAGGCCGGAAACCCAGCACTTAGTTCACCCAGCAGCGCTTCATCATCATTCCCGCAGCCTACCCCCAAAGCACTGTCTTTTCCATTTAACGCTCCAGTGGAAGAATTTTCCAATAAACCAATTTCCAACTGGCTCACCCTATGACCTCACATCTTCAGTTCTGCTCTCTTGGTGACCTGGAAGTGTGGTTTCTCCCACACAGGCCTCCCTTGGCCTCAGGGACCAGCAGAGGAGTTGAGCAAACCATTCCTGGCTTCTCAGCAACTCACAGAGGCTGTTTTGCTGCAAACCCTGCACTCCCAGCAGAGCAGAACCCGCAAGAGCCTCCGACAGGCGCCAGCTGTGCTCCCAGGAAAAGTGCACCTGCCCCTAGAAAAGCACTGTCTGGCTTCTGTGGCTCCTGCCTCTCGCCCAACTCTTTTGTGAGCGCAAATCCTGGGGGTTTATTGGAGCTGTGGGGAAAGCCAGTGAGGAGGAGAGGAGCCACCCTGGGTGTATGGGGTGGTCCAGGGCCTTAGTGAACCCTGCTGGGCCCTGAGGAGCTGGGATCAGCCCCAGGAGCTCACTGTCCAAGGGTCCCACATCCTTGGATTCAACCAACTGTGGATTGAAATGTTCAGAAAAAAAGTTAAAAATACAAATTAAAGAAATACAGCGTAACAACTATGTATTTGTTTGGAGAGTATTATGACATTGTACAATTTCTAGATCACTCATAAGGGTGCCTACAATTATAACATTGTAACATTGTTATATAACAGTGTTATAAATTAGAACATGGTAGGAGGACTGATGAGTAACCTAGAAATGGTTTACAGTATTCAGGAGGATGTGTGCAGGTTACATGCAAATACTGCACAGCTTTATTGTAGCAAACCTGGAGGCCCAGGCTACTTGTAACTGGAAAAGCCTTCCCCACTTAAAGTGGGGACCAATGTCACACTAAACCACAAGGGAAAGGCTTTGCAGCAACTAAATTACAAAACAAAAACTATATAAATGAATTCATTTTAACCTTACCTTTAACATAGTTGAGGTAATGTTTGCAACTAAGCACTAAATCTTAGAATAAAGAACAAAAACCCACACGAGCTGATGTCATTGTCATAATCTCTCTGACAGATTGTGTGAGAGCAAAGTACAACAGCCTCCTTTGCCCTCCAGGGTGGCATCCAAAAGGACCATTTTTGAAAAAAAAAAAAAAATCAAGGGCCTCTTCAGACTCCGGAGGCTTTTCTTATCCTTTGATATTCAAATCAGGCTTTGATGCACCTATCTTGTCATCGTCTTTCCTGGGATGTGCAGTTTTCTTTTTGCAATGGATTTGCATTGTATTTGTGTTGTATTGTCTTACACTATCTAGAGATTGGCAGGCACAGACTCTCTCCAGGGGTTGGGAAACCCTTGGCATGATAGGGAGAGTCCTCTGAGTATGTGTACGGTTTACTGATGAACAGTTTCTTTTTACAGTGATTTCTATTTCTCTGCACAACCTCACAACTCGAGGACATTGAGAACTCCCTGTAATGGCACTGCTGTGTCACCATGGCTGTCAGGAAGCTGGCTAGAGGGCCCACCATTAAGCTGGAACCATAGGAGATTAAGAGGGTTGGAGGGAGACCCATTCCTAAAGCAGAACAGGGACGGTGGAGGTGTGACTGATGCAGGCACTGCCAGGGCTGACGAGGGGGTGCCTCTCAGGTCCAGAGGAAAATCACAGAGCAGGTGACCCTGGGACCCAATCTTGGGTTCTGAATGGAGAGGCATCTGCTAGATGCACAAGCGGGCCTGTGGGAAGATCCTCATTCCGTTCAGTGAATATGGACTGGATGTAGAATGCATGTCGTGCTTCTGCTGGGCCCCCAGGATCTTACAGCTGGGGAGAGCTAAGAGTTCAGTTCAATATGCCAAGACAGGACCACACAGATTTGGAGGGAGCAGAGGAGGCAGGGAAGAGGGGCACAGAAGATCTCTTGGATGTGGCAGATGACAAGAAGTTTAGTTTGGCCAGAGTGCAGGGCATGGCCATGGGCAGAGGTCAAACCAACCTTGTCCCTCCACAGAGCAGAGCAGAACCATGGCAGATCCCTCTTTACTTTACTCTGCTGTCCCAGCCAGCTGCAGCCTCACCAGAAATTGACCCCCTTTCCTGACAGCCCTTTAGCATTTCAAACCAAGTGACCTGGCATGATCATGTGTCCTATTCAGGAAAAGTAGCTCTCACCTAGGTATCTAAAAAAAAAAAAAAGATATGTTCCCTGCCTCTCCCAGAAGATCTGAGCCCTGCAGGGAAGGTCTCGAGCCAGAGAGCTCCAGGACAGCGTCTCTGGAGGGGCGGCTCTCAGAATGTCCACCACAGAGAGAGCCCAGTCTGGGTCTGTTTCTCAGGGCCATTGTTAGGGTTGGGTTCCTCCTATCCCGGGCACAGGCTTTGAAGGAGAAGCTCTGGGAAGCCCCAAGGAAGGGCAGGAGAAGGGGACCCCTGGAGAAGGAAGGAGGCAGGGCTCATCAGCCTCCCACACTCCCTGAGGGTGGCCCTGGGAAGGGCGGCAGAACATAACAACCACCCTGATCTCCGCTTTTCTCTCCTGTGTGTTTCAGTTCCAGGAGAGCCCCCGGGATCTGTCTCAGCAACGCCACACACCACGTCCTCTGTCCTGATACAGTGGCAGGTAAGAGCGCGGGGAATCACATGCATTTTGTCAAATGTGTTCTCATTTCCCTGCACATTCAGCCACGATGGCTGGACGTGGATTGCAAGTGGAGCCCTGAGCTAAGCGTTTGAGTGTAGAACCAAGGAGACACCCCCTCAGACTCACAAACGCGAGGGGGAAATGGTGTCAATTATCATCTCAGTGTAATTTCCAAAACATGGGAAGCAGAACTGCAATGCACGCAGAGAGTGAACTTGACTCCCCTTATTCAGGAGGACCGGCAGGATGGGGAGGTCAGTCTGAGAGCGTTGGAGGAACTGGGTATGTCTCGGCATTTCACTGAGGATGTTGGAGCAAGGCTTCTATGTATACACAAATTGGTTATTGCCCTACAGGGCAGTAAAACTGCAACCACTGGAGTTAGCTTTTCTAGAGAAGTAATCTGCAACCAAACAAAATATCTACTGGATTGTACGTATTTTCTCGAAGTCTGGGTCTTTATTTATTATTATTATTATTATTTTGGGGTGGAGTCTTGCTCTGTCACCAGGCTGGAGTGCAATGGCACAATTGGCACAATCTAGGCTTACTGCAACCTCTGCCTCCCATGTTCAAGCGATTCTTCTGCCTCAGCCTCCCAAGTAGCTGGGATTACAGGCACATGCCCCTATACCCAACTTTTGTATTTTTAGTGGAGACGGAGTTTTACCATGTTGACCAGGCTGGTCTTGAACTCCTGACTTCAGGTGATCCACACGCTTCAGTCTCCCAAAGTGCTGGGGTTACAGACGTGAGCCACTGTGCCTGGCTAAGTCTGGGTCTTTAATCTCCAGTGCGCAGTGAGTCAAACAAAGGCATGTTCTTCCAGATAATCACAGACTCCTTGGTGGGCCTGCTCAGCAATTCTCCGGTAAGGCATTGAAGGACACGCTGCCGTCTCTTTCCATTAGTTTCAATTTTGGGCAATGCTTACTAACAAGTACATTGATGACAAATATAACAGAGGGACAAAACTGCCGAAGGAAGGGCTGCAGGCCCCAGGGAGATCCCAGCTGAAGAGTGGGGTGGGGAGCTGCGCCGTGTGGCCCGGGTCCAGGGCAGGCAGATGTTGAGTTTCCCCAGGGCTGGAACTTGGCTTGGCAACAGACACAACAGACGGACGGGCAGGGGGCCAAGTGCAAGGGCAGAGTCGAAGCTACTGGCCCGCAGGGAAGTTCCCGCGGCCAGAGTGGGGGCTGCCTTGCCAGGGAGCTGGGAACATGGTGGGATGGGGCTGGCGTGGGGCGGGTGCGGCGCGAGCCCAGGTCAGCCTAGGAGTAGCTGCTGGGAGCTGGGGTTGGGCTGGGGTCAGGAGGGCAGTCTGGTGGGCACGAGATTTTTCCTCGGAGCTGATGCTGTCCTCAAGGACAATGGCAGGGTGCCCGAGGCAGCAGGTGGGAATGATGGTTCGGGAAATCAGGAGAAAATCAAGAGGGGAACAATGGTCCGGACATGGCCTTGGAGAGCGAGGGGGTTTCCCAGCCACATGCCCTCCACTGGTACGCAAGGGGGAGACAGGAAGGGGTTCTGGGGAAAGGAGGGGCTGCGGGAAATGGAAGGGATGCTGGGAAACACAGCCGAGGCCACCAGCAGGTGTCCCAGACAGCGTCTTCCAGGGCCCTGCAGAGGGGCCACTCCAAGGAGCAGTGGCTTCACTCTGCAGCACGGAGGACGAGGCCCAGGCTAGGACAGTAGGTGCCAGAGATACCTGCTGGGCCGGGAGAGAGACGTGCTGAGTGAGCAGCGCCAGCTGCAGCCTTCCTGGGCATGGGCTTGAGGTGCGTGGTGCTAGAGATGCAAGAGAGGAACCCAGTGACCAGAGCCTGGCTGGGCCGTGGGTGGGGCCAGCCAGGGGAGCTTGGGAGCGGCTCCGCTTCCCCTGTCTTGCTGTATGATCCTATGAAATATGACTATGTTTGAGGTATGAAAGTGGCAATTTATGTGATTCACCCGCATATCACTTGCTACTGCCACTTATCTGAGGGATAGAGAGTGGGCGTTTAACAAGCTGGGTTCTGTGAAGGGCGTGTAATCTCCTTCAAGTGTCCATGGAGGTGTGCGGGGCTGCGTCCCGGCTGCCTTTGTCTTGCTAAGGGATCCACCTTCTTTGGGTCGGATAGGAACATTTCTAGGGCATGAAAGAATGTCCCAGCGTCTCCTGGTGGAACTGGAAGAGCGCTTCTGTGGCACTCAACCCTGCTGAGCTTACCAGAGCATAAGGGGGCCAGCGTGGGAACCAAGAAAACAGCCTGGGCCCCACCCCCGCCCCTGGGAAGCCACAGCCCCTGATCTGTCTGGGAGCCACTGGCAAAGTGACAAAGGACCCACCCGCACTTACCATCGGGCGACTGTGGCCCTGAGAGGCCCCTCTTTGTAAGAACAGAAGGTCACAAAGCTGAGCTCAGGTCTCATGCAGCATCTGCAGTCTTTGGGGCCCACCAGACCCCCAAACCTGAGCTTCAGCCCTGACTCCCGTGAGCGTCTCCAGTGGGAGGTCAGAGACATTCAAAATGGAAACACAAAGTCCCAAGTGCTTGTTTCCTAACCTGCACCAACACGGTCGACCACAAGAACATTGGCACTTTGTACCATGCTGAATCCTACCAGAAAATTCCCATTTTCTTTGTCGACATAGCAGCAGCCTGCCAATACCTCACCTAGGTAAACTTCTTTCCTATAAAGGCAGTGAGTGTCAGGGCTGGGATGCGTCACCTCCACCAAACAAGGGTTGTGAAGGCATCACCTGCTGTCGGCCCCAGTGGATGGTGCAGAGCTTGAGCCCCCCTTGGTGCTGCTGGACAGCTCAGGGACGTGCCTAGTGCCGCCTGGAGGAGCTGGGCTGGTGTGTGCCTCAGCCGTCCCCCTCCAGAGCCCAACAGAACAAACTAATTGCACGAACAGGAGGTGGTCAATACAACGTCCTGTAGAAATAAATGCTTGTCAACTGCCAGGCAATTGAAGTATAATTAAAATTATGAGTAATTTACTGCATCAGAACAAAAAGAACAAAGAAAAAGAAACTCAGTTTAAATATAGATTTGCATTCCAAATAAAATGTTTCACTTGTAAACGTGTTTTTGTTTTTTGTTTTTGTTTTTGTTTTTTTAGTAATCTCTTTAAAAATGCAAACACAGGGCCAGACGTAATGGCTCACGCTTGTAATCTCAGCACTTTGGGAGGCTGAGGCGGGTCGATCACCTGAGGTCAGTTCAAGACCAGCCTGGCCAATATGGTGAAATTCTGTCTCTACCAAAAATACAAAAATTAGCTGGGCATGGTGGTGGGCACTTGTAATCCCAGCTACTCGGGAGGCTTAGGCAGGAGAATCGCTTAAACCCAGCAGGTGGAGGTTGCAGTGAGCTAAGATCACACTATTGCACTCCAGCCTGGGCAACAAGAGCAAAACCCTGTCTCGGGGGGAAAAAAAAAAAAAAAAAAAAAAAAAGCAAACACAGGCTGTAATTTCAAGGCTATAGACCCATTTAAATGCCTCCCATAGTAGACTGTCAGGCTTGATTCTTCTTAGTAGGACAGTCAATCCTTGCTTTGCATGGGGTCCAGTTCTGTTTGAAAACTAAGGATTAGAACTCCCTCTGTCTCCCAGGGTGGAGTGCAGTGATGCGATCTCAGCTCACTGCAACCTCTACCTCCCGAGTTCAAGTGATTCTCCTGCCTCAACCTTCTGAGTAGCTGGGATTACAGGCCTGCACCACCATGCCCAGCTAATTTTTGTATTTTCAGTAGAGATGGGATTTCACCATATTGGTCAGGCTGATCTCAAACCCCTGACCTCAGGTGATCCACCCGCCTTGGCCTCCCAAAGTGCTGGGATTACAGGCGTGAGCCACTGCGCCCAGCCTTGTGTTTTCTTTTAAAGACAGGGTCTTTCCCTGTCACCCAGGTTGGAGTGCAGTGGAGCAATCATAGCTCACTGTAGCCTCCAACTCCTAGGCTCAAGAGATCCTCCCACTTCAGCCTCCCCAGTGGCTAGGACTACAGGTGTGCACCACCATGCCTGGCTACTTCTTTAAAAGATTTCATAGAGATGCAGCCTCACTGTATTTCCCAGGCTGGTCTTAAACTCCTGGACTCAAGCGATCCTCCTTCCTTGGCTTCCCAAAGTGCTGGGATTATAGGTATGAGCCCCTGTGCCCAGCCTGTAAGTGGGTTTTGAGGCTGTTTTCTAGCAAGGAAAAAATTACTAAGCAATTGATCACACCATGCGGGAAGCTCTCAGTGTAACAGGCACCTTCCCAGAGGAGGGTTACATCTGCCTGGGCAAAGGCGGGGAGGCATCCCACCGCTTCACAACACATCTTGGAGTTATTTCTTTTTCTCTCCACTTGTGCCATCACCCACAGAGGACCAGCTCTTGCATGGGGTGCTGAGCTCTGGAGGGGACCGAGGCAGTCCGCAGAATGTGAAGAGCTTTCATTAAGCGTGGTGGGCTCTATAAGGCATTGCTAGGAAGACAGCAGAAGGAACAAAACTAACTCTGGCTGGAGGGGCGTCTGAACGCGCTTTGTGGGACGGACGGGCTCCTGTGGTGAAAGGCTGGAGAAGCTCGTGGCCCCTGGTACAGCCCAAGGAAAGGCTCACGGGTGACATCGCTGGTGTTGTGTCTCATGGGGATTGCGTGTAGAGCCTCCTGTGCTCTCAGAACCATCAGGAACGAACTCCGGAGAGAATCCCTGTCCTACTTTCCACAAAGCAGAAGGCACAGGATGGAGAGTGAAAGCTCGGATGCCCGGGGGAACCACGGTGGCCGGATCAGATTGGGATTTGGGCACCTGCTCTGCCTGAACTTGCAGGAGACAGTGGCACGTGGTTGAGCCTCCCTCAGCCCAGCTCCCTTTCTCTAGAACTGGGAGTGTTAGGTCCTGCCCTGCTGCTCCCCACCTCAGCAGAGGGAGCTGGGTGGGAAGTTCCACAGAGGCCAGCAATGGCAAGGGGCCCAGGGGTCCCTGTGCAGGCAGCTG